GTAAATGTTTTTATGTCATAACACATGTACAATAATATACAATTATTCCATTGTGTCCCTCCTGTTTATCAAATAAAAATACATTACTTTGCTTATCATACTGTCACATTTCACAAGGATTTTTTAACAGCAATAATTATAACATACATAATCATACTTTACCAATAATAGCTCTAAAACATTTGTATCACAATCACCATCATCAATTAGTTCCTCTTTCAACAAGGTCTATGATGGACTGATGTGAAGTGAAAAAATATTCTGTGGCCTGACGAGTCCACATTTCACATTGCTTTTGGAAATTGTGGACATTGTGTCCTCAGAGCCAAAGAGAAAAAGAACCATCATGACTGTGATGGACGCAAAGTTCAAAAGCCAGCATCTGCAATGGTGTGGGGATGCGTTAATTAATGCTGAAGGGTACATACAGGTTTTGGAGAAACATGCTGCCATCCAAGCAACGTCTTTTTCATCGTCACTCCTATTTATGTCAGCAAAAAAATGCCAAACCACATTCTGCACATGTTACAACAGTGTGGCTTCGTATTAAAAGAGTGTGGGGACTAGAATGGCCTAACTGCAGTTCAGATTAGGGCGACCAACTCTCCCGCATAGCACGTGTTTGAAGTGCAATCCATGCGTCATGCAAATTGAAGCTGTGTTACGTAAAATCAATGCTTGCTGTAATACCAAACTTCGACATGATATCGCCCCAAGCCCGAGGCAACCAAATGAATATTGTTTGACAGTTTGGCACAGCTCTTTCACCACACCCACCCCTCAAGTCAGACACGCTGGCACATGAGTGCGCACTTTTATGAAATCGAGAATGGAGAAAAAAACTTTAGTTGGTCAGCCACCAACTAAAAAGAGACGTGTGAACAGAAAACATTGGGAAAGTCAGTATTTGTGGGTATAGCAAGGGTCGAAGGGGATCTTGAGAGGGCTTTTTGTGACCTTTGTAAAACGTCGCTTTCAATCTTACATGGAGGGGACTGCGATGTCAAACGACAAAGGCTCATGGAGACAGCTCTTTTGAGTTGTGCAATAATTCTCGACCAGAGTGCAGTGCCACATTATTATTATTTTTTTTTGGTGTTTATTGCATACGATTTGGATAGAAATTAAATGATGATCAGGTGAAGCGGCATACCTGTGTGAGCAATCTGAAACAGTGTAAACTTAATGGAAATATGAGCCAAAAGGTCAAATCTGGATTGACCAGTTTGGATGATAGCATGTGAGCTCTTATCAGGGTATCAAGACCTCCATACATGCATTACCGACAATCGTTGGAAAAGAAAGACAGTGTTCTTTAATCTTGAGTGTTGATTTAACTTTGTAGGTACTAAATCGTCTGGTCATTAAAATCACCTCCAATTATATGAGTTGTCTATTTTAAATTACCAAAATAATCAATTGACCCTCTTCTGGGAGAAAAAAAAGATTTGATTGTGTCTCCTCTGAACTTATTAAATACAACACTGACCACTGTTGATTGAGAAGACACATGACTGAAGTTACATTGGTCTCCCCATTGAGCTTTCCAACATTTCACGACAATTTTCTGAGTGACTCTCTTGTAAGAAAAGTGTGAACCCTTCCGTCTACAAAACATAAAAATTGATTTTCTCTTTGTATTATCTCAGATACCGCTAACATTGAGAGATATTATTTTCAAAGAACAAACGAGCTATGGGTCGTGACTGAAAGAACGAGATCCCGGATACAAGCAGCCGAAATGAGTTTCCTCCGCAGAGTGTCCGAGATCTCTCTTACAGATGAGGTGAGAAGCTGGGTCATGCAGGAGGGGCTTAGAATCGAGCCGCTTCTCCTCCACGTCGAGAGGAGCCAGATGAGATGGCTCGGGCATCTGATTAGGATGCCTCCTGAACGCCTCCCTGGTGAGGTGTTCCGGGCATGTCCCAACGGCAGGAGGCCCCGGGGACGACCCAGGACACGCTGGAGAGACTATATCACCCAGCTGGCTTGGGAACGCCTCGGGATCCCCCGAAAAGCTGGAAGAAGTGGCTGGGGAGAGGGAAGTCTGGGCTTCCCTCCTAAAGCTGTTGGCCTCGTGACCCGACCCCAGATAAGTGGTAGAAGATGGATAGATGGATGGAGAACAAATGTTAGAGTGTCATTTAGAAAACATTTAAGAAAAGAAATCTGGATGCTTGGTATTAACAAAACGCAGACCCCAAAGCAACACAACCAAGCATGAGCAATTTAACACAGCTTTTATTCAAAAACTAAAAGCAGCACTCCGAGTAGTTAGGGAACATAAACAATCATGGCTAAATTAGATGCCTAAAAGGTAGGCCTGGAATGACATAAAATCTCAAGGAGACGGAAAAAAAACAACCATAATAAGCAAGGTAGGCTGTGGAGCAAACGAAAGGAATAACTGAAAGAGTGCAACAGGGTGCAAAGGTATAACTTAATAGAACTAATCTACTCTCTCTACATTGCACAAGTGGAGAGGGAATACTGAGAAAAAAAAACACCAGAAAACTAAAACTATAAACAATTTCAGCAAAGTACAAAATTTAAAAAAGAACAACAGAAAGTACTTAAATTAACTGACACGAGGAAGGAAAGAAAAACATGCAACCACGAACCCGATGGTAACGAATTGCCAACTGGCAAGTGAAACAATAGTCCGGCGCCAAGCGCCGATTCTCTGGATCTTAAAGGCCTGGCTGATTCAACTGCAGCTCAGGTGTGTTTCGGAATCTCTGCCCATTCCTGACACCTCTGGGGCGGGGGGAGACAAAGCAAATCAACGGGGAGAAACATAAGAGGATGCCTGTACAATAACTATGAAATACTGAGCAAAAATCACACCAATTTAGAAGAGGTAGATACTCTCTAAACAGAACTCTGAACATTCAGCACTTTAATGCGCTTTAGGACAGAGCAGAAAATGAATACAATGAAGGAAACATACTGAAGCAGCCTACAGTCTGCAGCATTTATACTCACCTAATACCCATATAGACAGATCGGTATTCAAATTATCAGATGTCAATTGGCCAAACTCAGAATAAACAAACTTTTGTTTTTTGGAACGCACACTATTCGTCTAGTAGTATTACTACTTGTATTCTTTGTCACCATATCTTGGAATTCAGTGAAGCGTTGTTAATGGCTTTCAGGATGTCCACATTGGACACCACCTCCTCCTTCCTCGAGACAGGAACCACATAGGACGTCTTTGGGTTAGGACTTCCGGATGGTGTTAGAGGCAGAGGTGTGCATAAGTTGGAAAAATCTGTTATATCCATGTCAGCCATAAGCCCATCTGGCTTCAAAATCATTCTGCTTTTGGCATCTCTCTTGGTTTTATATCCACGCATCATCATGAACCAGGAGCTGCTAATCAAGGCGACTAACCTTTAGCAATTTCATAGACAGGTCTTCAAAACTGTCCTTTGGTAGCACAAGTCAGTGTCTGGCAAACAAAAAGATTAGTTTAAACAGGTGTACTTCAAAATTATTATTATTAAAGTTATTCTGAGTCCTAATGAATCATTTTAAAAGACTGGTACTACATCACTATTCACGAGCTCAACAAAGTGCATCTACATGGGTCACCATCTTGCTATCCCCCTTGTTAGAATTTTGGACCGCTTCTTCACGTGATCCCTGAAACGTGTTACGTGCTGTACAGTAGACTTCACTTTAGGCTTGTTGCTTGGTCTATTATGCCATAAAAATGCTGCATGGCATTGTCAAGTATTCTCATAATTTAGATAGCACTCTTGCAGTTAGGTTTCATGTTCTTCCTTTGAAAAAGAAAAAAAATTACAGCGCAATTGCTAGCATGTCATTAACATTTATGATCTTACTTTAATCAAAAATATTGCAAGTTTCGTTGTTATATTTTCAGAATATGTTTTGGGCACAAATATCCATGTGTACATACATTTTGGTATCATCGGTCATGTTTTTTGTCCAATAAGTGATGTAATGTTTTCTCTCCATGACTTTACTAGGAGAGGCAACTTTATGATGATATATAATTTTGATACTTAATTGACTTAAACCTTTCATATGTCAATTATATTTGCACTTTTATTCTCCATACGCTAAGGCTAATTGAATGCTGAAAATTTAATTTTCACCGATGTGTTCCTTGAAATCAACAAGGAAAAGAATTAGCGCAGGCCAAATGAACGGTCTGAAAAGTGTAATATTTTTTATTACTGTATCAATATGCCATTCTATATGCTTCTGTGCTGTCACGTGAGGAGTTATTTACGTGCAATTTTGGCGGCTTAATAGGGTACAGAGACCTGCAGCTTCAACAGTCAGTTATTGTAGTTCGGTATCATACCACATGGCGGCGCCTCTTTAATTTATTATCTCAGTTGGTCACTTCTTTTTTTTCCTTTAACTTCTCCCCTCAACTTTTTGTCATGAACTCCGTCTGGTGTACCCGACCGCGGGGCTCTTGAGAAACGCGTGGTAAAGCCTTTTAACTGTTGTTTTGTTACGAATTATTAAACAAAAGCTTTTGGAAAATCTAGAAGTCTTTGTTCCTTCGGCTTTCCAATATCACATGTCCATGGCTAGTTAAACAAACCACATTCGTCAATAAAGCCCCGCCTGAAAATCATCATGAATAAATTATCCAAATAGCCTACATACATTTACTGCCTTGAGTGCCTGCCTGTCTCCGTCCGCTTTCAGTCTCAACTCACACAACCAAGCACCATCTAATACAGGAAGTGGGCGTTTCATTCTTCAAAATAAAAGGATTTTATCGTCAATCCCGTCAATGACATCGACAATATTGCAGAAGTTCGCAAACGGGATATCACAATATTGACTTTTGTTTTTTCTTAATACTATTTTTTTTTGTTTGGTGGCTTTCACTAAACACGTGCTTCACTATGACTAGATTTCAGTTCACACACGAATTAAAAAAAAATCAAATAACACAGGAGTAAAGAAAATACGTATGCTTTACTTTGAAGGATTACTGTGGATATGGACTTTTTCAACTGCGAATCTTTAAAGTGGAACACGAATAGCCTTAGTTGCTGAACTTTGCAAGAGGCTGACTGGCTGGTCCTACTCTCATTTTTGGATTCTGTATGCAAGTTCTCTGTGCCGTTCCTCGTCGTATGTGAGAGGGTGTGTCGATGTACCCCACTGGAAAGGGTTAGTGGTGCCGTACGCACAAGCAAAAAGGGCAAGTTTTTGACTAGCTGCACGTGAAAGCAGTTTCATAGGTGCTAGCTAACTGTTCAGGAATGGCAGTTTGGACCAGAGCTGATAAAAACGGTCAATTGGACCTACTTCTCCGCGATCGCTGGATCCGTGTTTCCGCCGAACTTACCAGAGAAACGCTGACTTTAACGGCCGAGGCGGATGTAAGCGGACAGGGGACCAACCATGGGGGTCACAGCACTTCCCTGGATGATATGAGAAATGGTATGTCGAATGGAAGCGAATCGGGATCGAGGTCAGCGCACCTTGGCCGGAGTCTGTCTTCTGGCCAGGGACAACTTCAGAAAGGGTGCAGCAGCAGCCCTGGTCGCGTGGGTAGTCCATGTGACGGCGCCTACGGATTAAGCAGCCCCGGGAAGTGCTCGAATAACGGCACAAACTGTGACTTTGGGAGTCCTGGGTCGAGCGATGGCAGTCCCGGGTCGAGTTCCGGTTCGGGGCAAGGCGAAGTTCCAGTTTGTGGAGACGTCTGCACGGAGGCTGTGCGAAAGGTCCGAGTTGTGAAACAAGAGTCTGGCGGGCTAGGGATCAGTATCAAAGGAGGGCGCGAGAATCGGATGCCGATCCTTATCTCCAAGATTTTCCCGGGGCTCGCTGCAGACCAAAGTCGCGCGCTTCGGGTGGGCGACGCTATCCTGTCTGTCAACGGGAACGACCTCCGGGAGGCAACGCACGACCTGGCGGTACAGGCCTTGAAGAAGGCAGGCAAACAAGTGACGCTGGAGGGTAAGCGCGGCCACGTTTGAGCAGGGATTTATCGAGGCCGTGATCAGGGTGGCGGGTTCCCGCCACAAACTCCCGTGCACTGTTTATTTGTGGGCATCTGTTCGTCTAGGAAGTTTTCGTCTAGTACATAGCAAATAATAATTTCATATTGAAATGTTGAACGCAGCCTTAACCAGAAAAGGACAATGTGAAAAGTTAAACTTGATTTCATGCTACTTTGACATATTAATCCTCTCATCATTATACCTTTGACCTCTTAGGGTAGATCAGCTACACCCACTCCCATGTAAACATTAGATCCTCCAGAGTCCAACCAAACTCAGTCAAAAACAATCATTTCTGATTTTATAAACCTGCGTGATGACAGCAACATATTGCGGTGAGGAAGGGGGGTTTTACGAAACAACATAATACTTTTAACCAGGGGTCTGAAACTCAGCTTGGCGCAGGAGAGTCTGTTTGTGTCTGAGTCATGTCTAGAAAAAAGGGGTTCAAGTATTTAAAAAAATGCAATTACGGTAACCCATTCTCTTCAACCTATATTAATAGCAGTTAAGATCATGAACAGTTCTTTAGCACTTCAACATGATGTTGACCCAGACCTCTTGTTTGTCACTCTGGTACTTTGCATACTGCTGAGCACGGCTAGTTGAGGGATGATTTATGATTTCTTGAGCACTGGAACTTTCTCTGTGCATTCAAAACATGTCTAGATGCTATTGTGCTTAAAAAAAAAAAAAAAAACGTTTTTTTCCTTGAAATTTGCTGTTTTTGCTGACAACCTTTTTCTTCATGGCAGGTGATGAAAAAGGCATGACTGTCAGTATAGAGTTTGGTGTCAACTTCGGAATCATGTTTTGCTGAAAGCTGTATATATATATATGTATATGTATATGTATATGTATGTATAGATAGATATGTAT